GGGGCCCGGGCCACCGGCAGCGCCATGGGGCTGTGGGAGGTGAAGAACTGCAGCACCTTCAGGGCCAAGTACATCTGCCGGCAGAACCTGGGCACGCCGGTGAACCCCGAGCTGCCGGCGCCCTTCCCCACGCCCAGCCTCACCGCCTCCTGCCCCCCGGGCTGGAGCTCCGACGCCAAACTGCGCCACTGCTACAAGGTACCCGGCGCGGGGCGCCGCGGGGGCCTTCGCGCCCCCTTCCTCTTCCTCGGGGGCTGCCTTGGCGCATGCCCGGCTCGGTGCAAGCGTTCGGGATGGAGCAAGGACGCCCTGCAGGACCCTGCTGCCACCAAAGCTCCGTGCCCGGCGCTGAGCCCTCTCCGCTGCCTCTTCTCCCTGGCCAGGTGTTCAGCTTCAACAAGCTCCAAGAGAAGAGGACGTGGATCGCGGCGCAGGACTTCTGCCGGGAGCTGGGGGCCCAGCTGCTCAGCCTGGGCAGCTACGAGGAGGAGCACTTTGTGACCAGCACCCTCAGCAAGATCTTTGGGTGAGCGCATCCCTGCCCCGGGAGGGGGACGTGATGGAAGTGCATAAAAACCAGGGAAATTTGGGGGCAGAGAGCGGGTTTAAGCAGCTTCGCTCCTGAGGAGGTCTGGGGCAGAGAGCCCATTTTGCCTCCTAACCCTTAGGGCTCCTGGGGACAGTGGGTGTCTCAAGCAACCCACCAAAAAATGAGATGGTGCCAGAGCCCTGGCACAGGCTGCCTGGAGGCTGTGGAGGCTCCTTCTCCGGAGGCCTGGATGCCACCCTGTGCCCATGCTCTAGTGTCCCTGCTGGACCAGGGGGCTGGACTGCATGATCTCTAGGGGTCCCTGCCACCCTCAACCCTTCCAAGTTTCTGTGATTTGTAAATGTACCCCAAATCAGAGGGCTGGGTCATTCTCCCCGCTTCCCCATGGCTTCTCTAGCGAAGCGGAGTCGGAGATCCACGAGCAACACTGGTTCTGGATCGGCCTGAACCGGCGGGACCCGGCGGGAGACCGGAGCTGGCGCTGGAGCGACGGGCTGGGGGTGAGCGGCACATTCTGCCCATGGTGCAAACGGGCAAAAACCCCCGGAGCGAGAGCCGGCTTTGCCCCTGCTGCGGATCGGGTCGGCCCAAACTCTGCCCCTCTCTCTTGTGCCCAGTTCTTCTACCACAACTTTGAACGCAGCAACTACGACGACGACGACATCCGCGACTGCGCCGTGCTGGACCTGGCGTCCCTGCAGTGGGTGCCGATGCAGTGCGAGTCCCAGCTGGACTGGATCTGCAAGCTGCCCAGGGGTACGGCCGAGCGCTGCCGCGGGGCAGAGCCTTCCTCCTGCCGATGCCCATAGAAAATGACTTGAAATACGTTGTTTTTCCCTAAAAGGAGCACGCAGTTATGTTCAAGCGCTAGACCTGTTTGCCTCCCTGTAGGTACCCGTGCTGAGCCCAGGGAAAGGACTGCTTTCCCAACAGGCTAACGGGAGCTTTTGGGGGATGTAGCAGTTCTGCCTTTGCTTGCTTATGGAGAAGAGAGGTTTGGGGAGCCAGGCAGGTGCAAGTTGCAGGTGGCTCTGGCCCAGCTGCCGTGTGTTTTGCAGAGCACCAGGCATTTCGGATAGGGATACAGGGAGGCCAGGAGAAAACGTTCATGCTACAGCGCTGTTATCAGCCCCATTACGAGGCAGTCAGGGGTTTCTGAGCCGGCTCACGGCTCTCTCCTTCCTGCAGGCGCCGATGTGAAGGAGCCGGAGATCACGACGCAAGGTGCGTTAGCGGGATGCTCAGCCCTGTCCATCTGTGCATCCCTGTTTTGCCTTTCCGGGGCGTTTTCCATCCTGGGCTCTCCAATCCATACAGACATCCTGCTGGAGGGTGGTTGGGAACGTGGTGCTGGGAGCTGGGATGGGGGCCCAGGCATCCGAGCCGAGGCTCGGGAGGGATTTTCCCTGCTCCTGGAGCGCTGTTTCCAGCGTGGAGCGGAGCACGGCATGGCCACGTCTCACGCGCCGCCCTGCCCGCAGGCAGCAAAGAGTGGGTGAAGTACCAGGACGCCGAGTACAAGTTCTTCGAGCATCACTCCACGTGGGTGCAGGCGCAGCGCATCTGCACCTGGTTCCAGGCCGAGCTCGTCTCGGTGCACAACCAGGCCGAGCTGGATTTCCTGGGCCAGAACCTCAAGAAGGTAGGAGGGTTATCCGGGCCCGGATGGTCGCCCCCTCTCTCCATGGTGCTGGTGGGAGGCTTCTCCGGCCCTTTTCCATGGCCCATCCATGCTGTGCTCATCCCGCCTCCTCCGTGCTGTGCTTGGGGGTAGCCCTCCCAGCCCATCCCCGGTGGTGTCGGGGCTCTTTGCTGCCCGGGGGGCTGGTGGGTCAGGGCAGGTTCCCGGCTCCGGTGCAGGGGGGGGCGGGAAGCGCCCGCGGTCCCCGGCGCCGACGTCTCCCCTGCGGCTCTGCCAGTTCTCCAGGGGCCAGGAGCAGCACTGGTGGATCGGACTGCACACCTACGAGAACGACGGGCGATTCAAGTGAGTGGGAGTCCCCGCGGGCCCGGCCCCGGGCTGGGGCTCTGGTCACCTGGGCACGGCGCGTGTGCCCGGAGAACGCTCCGGGTGCTGCCGTCCGGCCGGGCCCTCTCCCAGAAGAGGGCAGTGGTGCTGCACGCTGCCGGCTCCGCGTGCGACGGTGCCGCTGCCGCCCGCAGCATCGCCGTGCACATCCCGCTGCCTTT